ATATATATTATATATAACAGCTTAGATATATATATATATATATATATATATATATATATATATATATATATAGGCCGATATATATTAATTGTGGTTCTGTATCGACAATATATTAAATAACGAGTCAAATTGTACCAGATATATGCCACCAAAATGTATTTGGTAAGATTAGGCCAGACAGTAAATAGCTAACAAACTATTTACATGCGTGTGTCAAAAAACTTGTTGGGAGATGGTAAAGTGATATAATAACATTAATACATTAGTCTTACAAAAACCTATAAAGGGCTCGACAATTGCTGCTATATTAATATATTATGTCACATTAATAAGATTTTCTTTTGCAATGTTATTATTAATTATTATTGTTATTCTATGATCTATATGGACATTATCCAAACATTAAATTAACTAATATTTTTGTTATATGTGTTTTGTTTTGTAATATCGTAGTTTCTATGACAATCTGTTGCTTTAAGGTCTGAAATATATCAAATTAGAAAATAAAGACTAAGTAACACATATTTGTTGCTACGTTAAAATAAATGCAAAAGTATGTTATAAAGATGTATGATTATTTGATCGACCGACTATAATTCTTAAAAGCAAATACGTTAGTCGAAGGATCGTATATTAATTTAAAGTTAAAGACACCGAAAAACCTGAATTAAGATGTCCGGAGGACGAGACTGTGGATACCGATGACGGTAAAGCCACGGCGTCAGTTGACTATTCAAGAAAAATAAATGCAAATGACAACTCCGGGAATACATCTACAATCATACCTTATCCCAATGAAACATTTCCTGTTGATATTGGAACCGGAGCACACGTCATGTTCACCTTTACGGTTAATGACTCGTCAGGGAATAATGCTACTTGTACATTTACCATAACTGTCCAATGTATGTGATTACGCACATTTCCAGTATACATTTAGTAAAACAATCGCGTTATAATTATTGGCTATAAATAAACCTTTTCTACAGATACAGAAAAGCCTACAATAAACTGTACACCGGACGAGACCATTGACACTGATGAGGGTAGTGCCACGGCGCCAGTTGACTATTCAAGTAAAATAAATTCAACTGACAACTCCAGGAATATCACTACAATCTCTCCTAATACCAATGATAAAATCCCAATAATAAAATAATAGACATTTAGAGTAAAAGAACGCAAATAATTGTAGTAAAGAAAATCAAAATCGAGAGTGTTATATTAGACCAGCACCTTAGTAGTGTAGTAGTACCAGCAGCAGCAGCAGTAGTAGTACAATGGTAATGGGAGTGGCAGTGGCAGCAGTGTATTAATCAGAAGAAAGTAAAAAATAACAGATAGTTGACAATGCATTATTTTAAATAGATGTGGAATTTAACAGTATGTTTAACAAATAATTTATTTAGTTGATCGAACGACTAAACTTAAAAAAAAACATGATCGCCTAATAATTATTTGCTTAAATTGTATTTCTACTTTTGCTACAGATAGAGAAAAGCCTACTGTAAACTGTCCACCGGACGAGACCATTGACACTGATGAGGGTAGTGCCACGGTGTCAGTTGACTATTCAAGTAAAATAAATGCAACTGACAACTCCGGGGATATCCCTACCATCTCTCCTAAACCCAATGAAACATTTCCTGTTGATATTGGAATTGGGCCACACAAGTTCTCTTTTACCGCTACGGACTCGTCAGGGAATTATGATAATTGTATGTTTACTATCCAAGGTTAGTGATTACACATATTTTACGATTAAACCTATCACATTAAAATTTAAAAGTGTTAGATTAAAAATTAATTTCCTTATCATAAAATTTATAATACGATGGAAATAATAACGATACAACTACTGTGGATTCGATGCCACAGTCACAGTAGTAATATCGTCATCATTATCATCCTATCACATTTGTCGCCATCGTCGATTTCTGAAAAGCCACTGACATTTTTATTACTATAATTAATGTAATTACTATTAATTACATTAATTATAGTAATGCATGTAATGTAATTACTATTAATACTATTATTACTATTATAATAATTCTTATATTATCTACTATTAATATACTGTTATTACTATTATCATCAACATTAAAATTGCATTTACCATTCCCATTACCATTACAAACACTATCACCATTGCTATCTATTAAACTTGGAAAAAATTTTTTTAAAGAGGCTTAGAAATCAAGTTGGGCGGAGTGGAATGTTAGAAACAGTCAACATAGCCATATATCCTAATTAATCCCTCCTGGTCACCCAAAGCCCTGTTGACACTTGATTTTTCACTTTATATACAAATGGCGGCCATTTTTCAAAATGGCCTCCAAAATTAGCTAAAATGTTCTTAAAATTGGAGCTAAATAAGCTACAGATATGATTTTGGTGTCTAAACAATGTCTAGACAGGCAACAAACTAGATATATAAAAACTATTGTCACTCAAACCAGAATAGGACATAATTCATAAATAGGTGTTATTTGTTTTAAAATAACCGCAAAATATACCTAAAATGTATATGGAATAAGAATAAATATATAACTCGCCAAAAGTTGCCGTGTTTGGTATCGTTAAAATAATAATGTTTTGCAGTTAAAACATGTCAAAAAAAGTGTATTTTTTCATACATTGTCTCGTAAAGTCCAATTATGGCATACCGTATTAATATAAATTGGACACAGTTGCGTAACTCGTGGCTCTCGGAGTGGGGGTGGGCTCCTACTACTACCTAGCACATTACTACCAAGCCTTAAATAACGCATGTGCTTTCTGGGCGAAACGTGGGCCATTATTACTACTAATACTACACACACTCCCACAACGCCTTGACAATATTGTAACCTTTTCAATAATTTCCGAAAAACTAAACCAGATCAAAATCCCACAATCAATACATTCTATGGAAGATTTATTAGAAGGGATTCTTCCAAATATACCCCAGCTTTTTAATAAGGAGGTTTGACCAGTTATGTAATGCCTGTGTGCTTTCCGGGGAAACGCTTAGTTCCTCCACTTCTAAATGTGTCCCGAAAAAGCCATGGACCCCGACTTACTACTACCGAGCAATCTAATAATACGACATTTTTGACAATGTATTTCCTTTTAATTTTCAAAAACATACGAGCCCCGGCCAGCTGCATCCCTACCCACCTTAAAATCCGCCTTCGCCCTTAAACATGCCAATAAATAAAGAATTAAATGCATGGATATCCATAATAGTAGGCCTATTTCTAATTACATGTAAAGATAATATCTTTACATGTATTTAGAAATAGTACACAACACGTTAAATTCTTATATGTATGTATTATTGTTATTTTACATTATAGGCCTACTAATAATTCGAATATTCGGATGATAAACGATTGCAACATCGTCGATTGAACCTTTAAGTACGATGGTCATTTTATTCAGAATTGCCTGATCGTGTTCCAGAGAAACATAATTTGTGGTATCGAAGTGACACTTTATTAACACTATCAATAAATTTTGTTACTTAAACGTCGTCACATTAATGTTTTCAAGCCTACTTAATGACCTGACGAAAAGTGATCTAGAAGTCTTGGGCTTACAATTATTATGGCGAATGTAAATTGTTGTCCGTTTCTAAATAGTGTTACTGTAATAGAGCCTATTATTAAACGTTGGAATGGTACCATATATAAATTTATAACCAGGGAGCAAAGTAGCTTAGCTCAGTTGCATAAAGTGGTGGTAGCCACTGTGTGCGCTGAAACGTGGAGATCTCTTAGGTCTCCGATTCAAATAAAATCAAATCATTCTTTATTGAAACACTCAAAATGGGTTGAATTTTGCAAAAGTAAAGGGTTCAAGCAGAAAAATCCAAACAATCAAATTTTAAACATTTTTTTAACAAAAAGGACCCATATCACAAAACAGCAAAAGGAAAGAGGTTCAAAGGGCAAAAAGGCAACCAATATTAAAATCAATATTATTATTATTTATTATTATTATTATTATTATTATTATTATTATTATTATTATTATTATTATTATTATCATTATTATTTTATTATTATTATTTTATTATTATTATTATTATTATTATTATTAATTAATTATCATTATTAATATTATTATTGTAATTATAATTATTGTAGTGAGATTATTGTAGTTATTTTAAATACTTATTTAAAAATGAACAAAGCATTAGCCTGTGCATGGAGTTCTTACCAGCCCTGAAACAAACCAAAATTTAAGATGATTTTTTTGGACCGTTCAGTTTTAACTTTTAGGAGGATAAATTCTTTAGGTCTTCTAAAGCCGGTTACTCATTGCGTGCGACGGCGACGCGACGGCAACGCGACGAAGAACGCACGCGAAGACACGGACTTAATGGATCGTCTTTTTAATGAGGATCCGTTGAGATTGCCACTGACAATCAGCAGACGGTGTTGCGTCGTCTGTCGCTCGCCGGAAGCAAATATGGATTCGTCGTGCGACGGTCGAGCAATCGCTGCTCTCCTTGTGTTCCAGACGGAGGGCTGAAATGCAAATTACGATAGCGCACCGTCTTTCGGATGAGACATTTAACCCGTTGGTCCCGTGTGCATTATGGCTTGTGTGCGAGTTAAAGAACGCCATATACTAGTCGGAAAAGAGGGGATTGTCTCCTGGTGTACATTGTCGTAATGACTATGCGTTTTCGTGCGCCACTCAGTCTAAAGTTGCCAATTGTTTTACAAATGAAAATAAAAAGAAAATTATACTTGCATTTTAAGTCTATGAGTGCCACTTCCGGCCACTTAAAGGTGCCCTAATCATAAATGATTAGCCCTAACCATGCTGGGGACTTTTGTAGTTTATCCTTGGTGTTTACACTGAATATACCCTGTCTCTTATACACATCTCCACTGACATTTTTATTACTATAATTAATGTAATTACTATTAATTACATTAATTATAGTAATGCATGTAATGTAATTACTATTAATACTATTATTACTATTATAATAATTCTTATAAAAAATTTTAAAAAGAGGCCTAGAAATCAAGTTGTGCGGAGTGGAATGTTAGAAACAGTCAACATAGCCATGTATCCTAATTAATCCCTCCTGGTCACCCTAAGCCCTGTTGACACTTGATTTTTCTCTTTGTATACGAATGGCGGCATTTTTCAAAATGGCCTCCAAAATTAGCTAAAATGTTCTTAAAATTGGAGCTAAATAAGCTACAGATATGATTTTGGTGTCTAAACAATGTCTAGACAGGCAACAAACTAGACATATAAAAACTATTGTCACTCAAACCAGAATAGGACATAATTCATAAATAGGTGTTATTTGTTTTAAAATAACCGCAAAATATACCTAAAATGTACGGTATATAGAATAAGAATAAACATATGTAACAAGCCCATAAGGGACCCATATGGTGCCCATATGCAGATCTATAT